GGAAACAACATTTTCCTATAGTCATAGTATTCTACTCAAGTGCGTGGCTATGAAGAAGTGCATACTGCCATGATGACGTCTGCTGCTTGAGTTTCGGGGACTGAACGACCTAAATAAAAGACTTAGCATTATTGTTTGAACTGCTTTTTGTTTTCGACAGGTTAAACACCCATTTTTGAGTTAGGGCCCTGTCCCGTTTGGTTTAGGTATCTATTTTCTTTTCGTTTGTTTTCTTTTCTTTTTCTAGTTTAATTTATTGAATTTAATCCTTCCTGCCTAACACGGCCACCTGTGTTATACGAAATTATTTCTTTAATTTTTGTTTTCTTTTTTACTTTTCTTTTCTTTTTATTCTTAGGGGTGGGGTGGGGGCTCCTGTCGGATAGAGAAGTAAAATTCGAAAGTTTCGCCTCTTGAATAACCTTACAGTGTGGAAAGGGCGTTAAATATATCCAATAGCAACAAGAAAAATAACAACAGCAACAGTAGCTGCAGCAGCGACAACAAAAACAGCAGCAACAACAACAGTAACACCACCAACAACAACAATAATAATGACACCCCCACCACAATCATCATCATTATCATCATCATCAACAACAACAGCAATAACAACAACTGCAACAACCGCAACAACAAGATCAACAACAACAACAAGAACAACAATAACACCGCCATCACAACCACCACCAACAACAAAACCACACCCACCCCCACCCCCTCGTCAATGTGTCCTCCCATCCGTCGTCTCCCTCAATGTGCCCGTCTGTCCGTCCGTCTGTCTGTCCGTCTGTCCGTCCGTGTGTCGTTGGTTCATCTCGTGGAGGCCGGTAGAGCGCACTAAACGTCAGCACCTCGCCTCTCACTCCACCGTCAGCCCGAGCCCATAAAAGCCAGTCCCCGGCGATGACTGGAGACGTTTATGAGAGCCAGCATACGACGCTGTATCGATGAGGGCTGGAGAGCGAGGCCAGGTAGGCTTGGGATCATCGGCCTTTCACATACAGTGGTATCATCTGCCCACCAATATGGCTCATAGGCCCACCAAATAGATCTCATCTGCCCACCAATATGGCTCATATGCCCACCAAATAGATCTCATCTGCCCACCAATATGGCTCATATGCCCACCAAATAGATCTCTTCTGCCCACCAATATGGCTCATATGCCCACCAAATAGATCTCTTCTGCCCACTAATATGGCTCATAGGCCCACCAAATAGATCTCATCTGCCCACCAATATGGCTCATAGGCCCACCAAATAGATCTCATCTGCCCACCAATA